GTGTTTCCCCGAAAATAAGACAGGGTCTTATTTTCTTTCGACCCCCAAAAAAGAACTTGGGCTTATTTTGGGGGAGGTCTTATTATTTTTGAGATGCAGGAGGCAGCGAGCATGGTCACCTCATGGCTATTACTGTGTTGCAATTTTGGGCAGGGCTTATTTTGGGGGGAGGGCTTATTTTAGTGCCTACGCTCAAAAGCCCGATTGGGCTTATTATCCAGGGAGGGCTTATTTTCAGGGAAACAGGGTATATGTTTTACACCACATATTTATATATATTGCTATCATCATACCTTATCTTTCATATGACTATAGTTATTTTAGTTGTTTTAATGTCCCTTTATAACAAACATTCCAAAATTTAAAACAGAACCACATAGTGGCATTCCTTTATCTATTTTCAATATCATCCAACCACTTTATACCTTTATAACACATTCAAAATAAAAATTAATTATGTTTAATAACAAAATTTTAGACCTCTTTTCTTAATCATTGTTTACAATTTGTTTCCAATTTCCCTTTTATCCTGTCGATACAAATTATTAGATTATTATCATTATCAGTCATTTATTTAACAATAGTTTGACTTAAGTTTAACTTACTTTTTCCCCTTTTTTCACCATTTAAATTTTTTTACCAAATTTCCTTTTATCAAACCAATATACATACATACATACATGCATACATACATACATACATACACACATACACACATACACATTGTTATAATTATCAATTATATATCTAACTTTATCCATTAACACTATATTTTTAACATAATGATCTAATTTTAGAAGTAAGTTCTTAAAGCAACACTTGATATCTTTGCCTTTGGATTGTAACTGTTATAGCTACTGTTTAAGGAAAAACATTGGAGAAGAACTGTGGAAAATAAAATTATTTTAAGCCTTAATGATAAATTTTAAAATCAAATATTGTAATGAAATGCAGGAAAGACCTTGTGCAAAGGAGGGGGGGGGATTATACTTTCAGTCCAGCAAGATTGATGTTGGCCTCATGGAGTAAGCCAGGTAAGATTCACAATTAAATAAGCTAATTCTACTTTATTGTAATGCTATAGTAACAGAATCTTGCAAGTCTGAAAGTACAATCCCCACCTGTCCATCTCCTTTAACACCTGAGAAACTGGGAGGGTCTCTTCTGAACATCTTGCTTTACCAACTATCCATCTGTAGGCTCTGCTGTCTCTTATCTGACCATTTCCTTGGCAGTGTCTTTTTGTCAGATCCCCCAAGGTCTTTCCATTGCAAATATTTATCTTGCAATCTGTCTCTATATTTAATCTAAACAGTATTTATTTTGTGTTGTGATAATTGAAAAGTATATGGACTTTGTAAAAGAATTGTGCACTTAAATTTGTGCTAACATTTAATATGCAGTTTTCTAAATGCAAAGTACAACTTACAGTGCAAATTTTGATCTTGTTTTCTCATAATTTTTTTTTTCATATAACTGAATGTAGGATTGTAAGCTAATAAAGCTACTATGCTTGTGCAATAAATAAATGGATATGAACTGTCCTCAGGAAGCATTGCTTTCATGTGTTCTTTGTTGCTGGAAGGAATTTCCAGTCTAGGACACAAGGCAGCAGCCACATTTTCTCCTGGCAAAACAACAGTGAATTAAATGGGATTATATCAACAGTGAATTCATATGTATTCATGCCTAAGAAAAACATCCTCCTGAGTCTGTTACCATTCAGATGCTTACCTCACCTCAAAAACACTGCTTTTCAAGCTGTCTGTGACTATATTTATATTCCTTCAACGTAAAGGTCTCAATTGTGGTTTTTCCTGAAGCCAGAATAATAAAGGGAACCCTGTGGATCTCTTGCTGCCAATGCTGCCAGCAGGGAGATTTTCCTCCTGTTCAGCCTGATCTTTTGGGGACGGAACAAACTGTGCTGGCTCTTTGCCCATCATAGCAAATGCACCTTCTCTATTCTTTTGGCTTAAGCATGGATGAAATTGCAGGAAGATATGAGCTGGAGCCAGGGCAGAACTCTTTATAACACATGTACAGCACACGGGTGGTGTTATATAACCAAAGAATTGCAAACGTTCCTTCCGTTGCTGTATGAATAGTCAGAACAGAAACTAAAATAAAAGGATTTAAATTAGGTACTCTTACATACCACACAAACTAATTTTATTCAATCCCAGTTGCTTTTTGTCTCAAGTGGTCAAGTCAGAGTTCCACCCTGCCTACCAGCTGACAGTCAAAAAAACAAGCTGCTATCTTGCCAGCTGCTCTTCAACTGGATGTGTCTAGTCATCTCTGCTGCCAATAAACTAATTCAAGTATGGTGTTAAAATATTATGGCTTAAAGCCTAGAATGTTCTGTATTGGAGAATAGATGAATGGTATTCAGAATCAGTATTGTATGCAAGGCTGATATATGGCAGTTGGATAATTAAAATATTTGTCCATGTAACAATAATTGAGAAAAATTATCTGGACTAATTCACAAAATAACTGATGCAGATAAGGATCATGATGTATGAAATTTATACATATACATATACATACACATACACATACACACGTGTGTGTGTACCGTGTTTCTTCAAAAATAAGACAGGGTCTTATTTTCTTCCCCCCTCCCAAAATAATCACTTGGCCTTATTTTTGAGGAGGTCTTATTATTTTTGAGGTGCAGGAGGTGGAAAGTGTGGTCATCTCATGGCTGCTGCTGTGTTGCAATATTTTCAGAGGAGGGCTTATTTTCAGGGGAGGGCTTATTTTCGTGCCTGCACTCAAAAGCCCAATTGGGTTTATTATCTGGGGAGGTCTTATTTTCAGGAAAACGTGTGTGTGTGTGTGTGTGTGTGTGTGTGTGTGTGTGTGTGTGTGTATGCACATGCTCACCATACTAGAAAATATCTCCTCTTGAATATTACCAATATTTATTGTAATGCCTGGTTATTTACCTAACCTTTTCCAAATTGCCTCACTGAGATTTTTCATTCATGAAAATAAAGGTGGGTTTTATTTTCAGTTTGAGCTTGTAGTATGTAAGATCAGTATGCTATCGATACTGGAGGTGTGAAGTGCTATAGAAAATCAGGCAAAAACTATTACCCAAACAAAGGTAATAGTTACCTTTTAAAGTCTTAGAAATAAGAGAAAATTTAGAAGCAGTTTAACAAGTTCTGCTTTGATTCGTTGGAGATGAAGAGGAGGAACAGCACCTGCAAGATGCCATTATTGTAGCTAATGGCCTGGTCTAGCTAATGGGGCTGACGGGTATGATAAAGAGTTGTTTTACATTCATTCCTAATTTTCCTTTCAAAGTAATTGCTGTAGTTAAAAATGTAGTAATCTTAATAACATTAAAATATGTATAGATACTTGTAAGTCTGTCCAAGCTGTAGCCCGTGTTGTGATGGTTCTTATTTTGAACAATTTTCTTGCTGATACCATATAAAGAAAGAGTTCCTTGAACAAAATCTGTAATAAAAAATCCCTACAGTCATTGACAGTATTCGCATTATGTACAAATAAGTTTACATTTTATATTCATACTTTCTCGTATATTGAACTTTTTTGTTGGAAGGTCAACATTATCAATGCCAATATGCTATAAAGCAATAGGAAAGGATTAAGTTAAACAATGAAATTATAGGATTTTTACTTAGACTACTTATTTGTCAACAAAAAGGCTGAAAGAAAATGTTTGGTAATGAACATTAATCATCCTAACAAATGCGTGACCAAATTAATCATTTTAGACTGTTTCTCTTTATTTTCTTTGTCTCCCCTAACCCTGTCCCTCCAAACCCTATCAAACCGGCCTACTTGACTATTGTGAAAAAGAGTTTCCAAACTGTTTCTCAAATTAAACTATTGACATACAGATTGATGAGGATTTTTTAAAAATGCAGTCTAAGAAATTAATAGTTCAGATAAAGAAACTAAGCTGCATATTAGGGATTTTATGGGATTTTATGAATCCTTTGCTAAGATTCTGGGGCTGCACATGGATTTCCAAATGAAGAAGAGAGGTTATTTGTCCTGTCTTATTTTACCCTGATGCCATTTTATGGTTGGTCATAATGGTTATGGAAACTTCTGGAGTGGAATTTAAATGGAGTATAAAGTGTTGTGGCTTAAAAGGGCATTTGGCAATCCACGTACATACTGTGAATAGCAGCAATTAGTAATTTATTCTTTGGATTCCAACTATGAATATTATTTTATTTTGCACTTTGTTTTATTTTGAGATTGCTGTGTTCTGAAACATAAGAGATATGCTAGGCCTGACTTGGAATCGCTTGGCAAAAGAATCTCAGAATATTCCGCCTGAATTTGAATGCATAATGAAGTACATATCAAATTGTCTCAAAGGTGTTTTTTTAAAGGCAATTAGACTTTCTTATTTTTTCTTGAAGATGTTTTGTTTCTCATCCAAGAAGCTTCTTCAGTTCTGAATGAGAATCCCCATAGATACATAGTAAATTATTATTCTATAATGACTTTGCATTAGTGGGGTATTTCATTGTATTTCACACTTCAGATTAAATACATAATTATTTTTTTCAAATGTTACTAGGTTAGAGAATAAAATGATAGCTTTAGACATTACAGCTTCTGGGTATCAGCCATAGGGCACTTGACTCCAGCATCTTTGTTTGTGAAAAGTTAGAATTCTTAATGGAAAGCATTATCCTGAATAGAATCTATTTCAAGTTATATTTGTAGTAATACTTGCAAAAAAATACCTAAAATAGGCAGGCCTTTAACACAGTTGATTTGCATTCATTGAACATACTTGCTTTCAATGTGGTCTGCCTTTATATGGGGTTGTTTTTTTGTTGCTTACATTTAAATATGAATTTCTTATGGGGTTGATGAATTTTGACAGTGTTCTTGCATTCTTGTTGATTTGGTTTGCAATATAGAATATCTAAATACTACTGTGTTAATAAAACAACATGTAACATTGTCTCCCTATAATGTGTTTATATTGCTCACAGCATGCCATGCCATTCTGGAGGATCTCAAGTCACTCTGACCTTATGGCGCTTCATCATGCCTTGGAACTGGAATACTTATAGTAGCACTTTGTAACTTCGGAACCTCCCTCACATCCGTGGACGATGTTCCTGAGTCTTGTTTTAGCACTGGCCTACAGAATTTTGTGATTTCATCATGTTGATGTGCAGCTGCAGATGGTCTTAACCCTTGTCCTTTCAATAAATGGAGGAGCACATCTTTTTCTTCAGAAACAGCTGTTCATTCTAGTACTGTGAATTCAATGAGAACAAGCCATGATGAGAATGTTTTAGCAATGTCTTCACTACATTTAAATGTCCATACCTGTGAAGAGGCTGGGAAGTGCTTTGTGATTTCTAGAATCTCCAGTGTGGTATGAACACATCTTAAAAACAGCAGACCTGATTGCACAACTAAGACTGAACTTTAAAAAAAATGGACACATTTTTAAAGGTTTACTTTTTTTCTTGCTTTTTCCTCAGATCCAGGGTACTCTGTAAATCTTTACTTATTTATGAACAGATTCTGTTTTGACATCATTTAAATGTGGATATGTACAATATGTGGGAAGGCTATAACTTGTCATTGCCTTCTTTTCACAAAAAGATTTTGGTTTTAGCACATTGCAAAGTAGAAGTATTTCTAATTTAAGCAAATAAGTACATCACTGAGACAATCGTGTATAGGAAGAATGTTTTTGTGTAAATTTCTAATGGACGATGTTTTACATATTGTTTAGGCAAATATTATTGAATAGTAGTAATGGATTTTTGGTGAAGAATGAGGCAGTATGTGCACAAACTATTGTGCTGTGCCTTATAAAAGAATTGTGTATAATGTGTAAATTGAAATTTTTAAGATCAGTTTGTCAAGACCAAAACCATGGTTGTCAAGTGTCAATGAGGAATTACTTTTTATTCATTCTTTTAGTTTTTTTCTTTGCAAATCTATTATATCACAATATCAACTCCCTAATTTTACCTTGCCTATAATAGGCTATCCTCTCATTTATACTTTGTACTTGAATGTATAAGTTCAAGTGTAAAATATACTTCATTCAAATCAGATGAGAAAAAATTGCATAGTTAAATTGTTACTTTTCTTTTAAAGTACATATGGAAGCCTGATTTGGCATTGTTTATGTGTACTTTGCCAAGAAAAGTAGCAGTTTACACATGAACATATATTCCTAACTGATATGAAGCATGTGTATTAGTACTGCTTGCAAACTAAGCAGTGTTCTGTTTCTTTATTTAACTGGTTTGAATCATAAATTGAACAACTCCTGTCCACGGAAGAATGTTGATACAACAGAAGACTCTTCCTAATGGATAAAATCACTTTTATTGATTATTTGTCCCCCAGGAATTCACAGAAATATGTTGCAAATACATGAGATATGTTCCAGAACAGGATTTTAGGAGAAATGAGATAGTGACAAAAATTGCCTCTCCGTACTTCTATTTTTACTTTCAGGAGCAATATTACTGGAATTCTGCCAATGAAAAAATATTTGCATTCAAGTCATTGTCTTCTCATGCAAATATTGAATGTGGAATCTATTCTTTTTGTCAGAAATATAGATAACTTTTTAAAAAGATAACCTTGTGTAATGTATCATGATTTAATAAAGTAAAAAATATGTTTTTGCACTCAAAACCTAAACATGAAATGTACCACCCTATCTTAAAATAAAACAGAGAATGCTTTTGGGGATTCAGTCAATACATACTGAGTATGAAAATTAGTCTTGCTTTTTTAAAAATAACCAATTTGTTGCAAAAAAAAAATTCACATAGTTTAACAAGCATTTTCTATAGGTCTTGCCAGTACCAAATTCAGTGAGCTTAATTCGAAAGTAAGCATGTCAACGATTGCAATTTAAGTCTCATTAATACCTGCTATAGAAAAGGCCAGGCACAGTAGGAGTTAAGATTTTTAATATGGGTAATTCAGAATCAGAAATCCCGAATCTCTTCTAACTCTACATGAGAGCAAATTATGTCCCTAACCACATGGTGTTTACTTAAAATAAGCTATAGCATAGATTGGAAAAATGGCAATGCATATTTCTTTAAGCATTAAAATGCATAAAACCTGCAAGCATTTTGAAATGATTTTGTTTGTAAACCCACACTTTGAAGTGAAATTAAGAATGGCAAATGTCTGGTAGATCCTTAATTTTGACCGTTTCACCCTAACAATCAGATTTTTGTATTGGTCTATTGCTGGCAATGGACACAGTAAAATTGTTATTGCCAATTTTGTTTTTATTGTTTGTAGTTGTTTAATTAATTCTACCCTTTCTTAATAACCTGCAACAATCCTGACAGTTTTATTTTGAGTGACCTATATAAACCAGTGTGGCTTTCTTGGCCAGAGTTAATAATAAATGCATCTTGTATCTTCCTCAAAAAATTATTTCCTACTATATTATACCAACATCGGTGTGTTTTTTTATTCAGGCTTAAATCATATTTAATCAGAATTCTTAACTGTTAATAAAAGGGAAGGAAGAATTGGCACAGGTTGAGAAAGTATATGTAATATCCTGTAAGCATCCATGTTTATAACCATGGCTAAACAAAGCCTTTATTACACCAAAACCTGCCTGAATCTATGCATGAGTATAAATTCTTGGCCTAAGTTTTGATACTAGGCACAGCTGGCTTACCTAGAAATACATATTTTACTTATATTTTACCACTTTCTAGATTTTTATTTTTGTGGAATAAACAAGCTTTTAAGCCAGCTAGTAGCAAAATTAGCTATTAGGCAATATGTGTATGTGATTCAGCGAAGATCAAACCTGAACTTGTAATTTGATTTAAAAATTCAATTCACATTCATAATCGGTAGTTTAGTTGAGTAAATCCAAATAGGCACCTGTGTGAAAGTTTGATGATCCGCCCTCAATTTGAATCAAAGCTTCACACAGCCTTATTGGGGCAACTCCTCTTTTTGTGGGGGATGCATATTGCTGCTGAAGTTTACGTTATTTTGTGGCTTATTTCAAACTATTTGATTGTAAATATAGCCCTTCATCTTCAGTAACTTGATCTACTAAAAACAAGCCACTGCTAGGACTATTTAAAGTCTGTGGTTAAACAGACATGTAAGTTTTTTAATTGCAAAGCTGGTTTTTGTTTTAGGCAAAATACGTTTTTTTTCCTGCCACTGCCCCCTTTTTGGGGGAGGGGGTTAGTCTGTATGCTGACTAAAAGTATGTTTGGCCCTTGTACAAACAGTGTGTTGTGTCAACCATTATGTACAGAAACTTTCCTCCATTCACTTTGCGTTTAAATTAATAAAATTGATTTGTGACATATAGCCATTTTGAATGTATTTGAATTTTCCCATTCCTTAACATATAATGCCTTAGTCATCTCTTTTTCAGAAATCGAATAGCATATTATATGGGTTTCTTAGTAGAAAATTCTACAGTAGAAGGCTGTATGTTACCTATGATGTATCAGGCCTCGCCCAAAGAACTCAAGTGAAGATGTGAGGGCAATAGAAACAGATCACTAAATAGATCTACATAGAGTCAAAATATTTTTGAGTGTTTTGCCAGGCTGATATTTAATTCCAAAATGACGCTTTGGAATATATGGGAATATACCATCTATCTGAGGGTCCTTGGTGTTCTCTGAGCTTGGTGTTGTGGTCTGCTAGCAGCCTGCAGAACTGGCAGAAGAGACAGATAGCAAGGAGATTGGGGGGAAACATGGGCCAACATGGGCCTGGAGTCTGGGGAAGGCTTGTATGAGGGCTCTGCATTGGAGGCAGAGAGGGGGCCAGGACATCTGAGAGCCTTCAGAGTTAGACAGCAGTGAGACAGAGAAACAGGCTCCCCCTGTTCCCAGTGTGTGCATGCACAGAGCTGCCAGAAGGCAAGAACAGTTAAGACAAAAGGGACGACTCGGGAGTAAGGCTTGGGGGTGATTGGCCCCTCCCATTGGATATAAAGGAGGAGCAAAGGCATGTGAGTCTTATCCCAAAAGACTTTGGCAGCCTCCTGTAGGACTCTTTACAACTATTTGGGACTCATTAAGGGCTGTGAATCAAAATAATTCACAGACTTTGAAATAAAAAGAGGGTTTTTGAGACTAAGTGTATGCTTTTTACTGTATCAGGAAGTCTAAGTTAGAACACTTGGTTGTTTTCCTGCAGACATTTCATTACCCTAACTAAGTAATATTATCAGTGCACATTTCAACCCTGAGCTACAAATATTCTCCTTTGTTGATAGCACCGATTTGCAACTCTTTTTTACACCCCATTTGGAATTGGTTTGATGTGTTTTAGTTTGTCTTTGTATTTTGCTCTTCTGGTCTCTTGCATTCATTTTATATGATGGGGGCTTTTTTAGCTGTAAGCTGCCAAAGAGTCATACAGGAGTTAGGCCGCCCATCTAAATAAATATACTCCTTAAAAGCAGGCACACCTGTTACTATGTACATATGGCAGCTGTTTGCAACCGTCAAATCTAAACCATTGCATAGGTTTACTATTTAGGATATTTTAAAACAATCAGGAGATATAATCATCTATATTCATTTTGGTTTAATTTCCAAACTATCTTCAAAGATGTGTTTCCATTGCATAATATAATAGTTTAGTTTTGAGATAGCATGATGAACACATCTAGCCATAGATAAAGCCTTCACAGCAGAACATAATCCCATTTAAAAAAAAATCCGAAGATGATGTGTTCATTGATAAAGCATTGAGGAGTCCAGAAAAATTAGTGCTATCTGAATCTCATTGTCTGTTTCCCAGTTTAATTTGTCTACTAGAAATTCACAAACCTACATTCTGTTTAATAAATGATATCTTTTTAAAAAATTGACATTATTTTGTAGTGCACATCATTTTTATTTATTTACTATTTGAAAACTAAAACCTCAATCTTTCACCTTAATATTGAAATGAAAGGCATAATAACTTTTAGATATTATATATTTTCCACTAAAAACTCACCCTTTCATTTATAATTGCATGTGTTCACACACTTCTCCTGCTCTACAAAATGTATGGTCAAAACCAATGAGCTTTTAGAGAAAAGGAATGCCATGATAATGATCCAAATTAGATATAAAGAATATAAACATTTTACTATTATTTATGTTTCTATTACATTTATATTAATGTATTCAAATAATTTTTTGGGTGAGTGGCACTTTGGCTTGTATTCAACAATGTTGTGGTTAAAAGATGTGCATAAGGATATATTTTAATCTATATTTCTTGAGAAAAAGTACATTGGATTGAGTCTAGTCCAGATCAGATATATTAAAATTAATATGACAATCTGACTTTGGTATATTTAAGCCTTACCATTGACCATCACCTTGTATTGGTGAGGGGGGCTTGCAACAATATGAAATATACCTTTGGAAGAATATGAATTTCATGGAGCAGTGGTGGGTTCCGGATCCCGTTGCAATTGGTACAGTTGCAATGGGGCCCGGCGTCCTCCACATGAATGCGTGTGGTGCGCACGCGCACATGAATGGCCCATGCATGCGTCTTACCGTCCAGCCATGCCTCTGCGATGCTTCAGCTGCTCGGCGGAACATCACACAGGCGCTATACATGCAATGCATGGAAGTGCCAAAGACTTTAAAGATAGGTATGGAGCATGGGCAGGCGGATGGGCCCTCCGGAGCACCATACTGGAACGGTATCCGCTATTCCGGGCAGGTTCCGGTACACCCGTACCGGGGCTTACCACCCACAACCCACCACTGGCATGGAGGTAATATATAATTTATTACCTAAGGTTCATTATAAAATAGCAATTTATTCCACTAAATAGCAACTTATTCCATTATTCTACTATGAAAGCAAAATGAACATTCATAACCAGAAAAAGGTCAATATGATACTGTAGGATGGACCTCAGACTGAAGATATCCCAAAAGCTACTGAGAAAGAATGGAAAGTAATTATACGTACATATTTGTATATCCAGTACAAATATGCCCAGAACTAAACTAAAAGTTTGATGCTGTAAGATATGTATATAATCCATATACAAAATGTCAAAATCAGAATCCAAGATTGTTAGAGAAACTCAAGATGGAACATAGATGTATCAATGAACAACAAAATGTTCAAAATTACCAAAATGTGTCACTATGAGAAGAACATTAAGATATGCTGAGGACAAGATCATAGAAGAAATGAAATAGTCATCATCCTAAACAAAAAGATGATGTGATATAATGATTTCAGTTCAAAGCAAACGAATCAATCAATACTATGATACAAATGTATACCAGAAATTCAGAGGAAGTGCAATACTATTGACAGAATAACCCAAAAAAGTATCATACTATTTGTAAGTGACTGAAATGTTAAAGTTGAAAGTAATATAGCATCTGGAATAATAGGAATATTTGCCCTTGGTTCTGAACCAAAGCAGGAGACAGACTAATATATTTATGCCAAGAAAATTCAATGGTTATAACAAATGAATTCCTCTTAACAATCTCAAAGACATCTGGACATAGACATCACCATATAAATAACACTGAAACTGAATGGTTCTACGTTCTAGAACCAATAAAACAAGACTAGGTGACTATAATTCAGATCACAAATTCATTGCAAAATTACTTAGCTTAAGCTAAAATAAACAAAATCATAAAACCAACAAGATAAAATTTCTGCAGTATTCAATATGATTATGTGGTGAAGGTAGATTCGATAAATAAACAATAACTCAAATGAAACTTTTAACATTATTAACACAAACAAAAATAAATTTGGGAGAAAAGAGCTATATGCGAACATACTGACAAGAACTGAATAAAAATAGACAAAAAGAACAGAGATAAATTTGCCCAATGTCAAGCTCTACATAAGAGCAAGAAAATAAATAAAAAGTTGTAGTTAAATAAGTAGTGCAAATAAGTTAACGATAATCAAGTTAGAATGGACAATGTATTACTTTTAGGAAATTACAGGATTCAAGGGAAATCTTTATACAAAGATGGGCAAAATATAAGACAAAGAAGACAAAATAACCTCTTAGATACAGATAAAAATAAGAAAGTAGACAAATTGAGATCTGGAAAGTAAAGTTCAATGACCCCCAGAAAAATTATACTTGAATTAAGGCTGCAGGTTTTGATGAAATATCAGCAGAACTATTTAAAGGCCTACAAAATGCTGCACTTGAAGATGGCATATGGTTTGCAAATAGCATGTAAATCACAACAATGGCCAAAGAACTAGACGAAATCAATTCAGTGGTGAAATTGATTTTTTTTTACTACTGGTTCTACTTGGTGGGCATAGCAGGGGATGGATACTGCAACATGTCCATTGCCACCTTATTCCAGGAGAAGGATGATGCAAAATCCCCATACCCTCCTGTTGTGACTCAGCAGTTCTGCTGAGAGCTTTTTCAGCATACAAAATTCACTGTGGTGATTCAGCAGTTCTGCTGAGAGGTTTTTCAGGCGCCTGGCCTCCCGTCAATTTTGGTGGCCCCATCTGAAAGATGATGTACGGAGGTGCATGCAGTCATATGCCCAGTGTCATTGGGCCAGGTCTACCAGAATTCCGCCGAGATTCCAGTCTTTGTCAACTACAGTTCCTGCAGCACTGGACTTTGTCTCTGGGTTCCCGGTGGGGTGCCGCGGTCTTGAACTGTGTTCTGGGGAGGCCGTCACCAACCCTTCTGGGCCACACCCCGATCATTGAAGCCGGGGGAAAGGCTCTGCGGGAGGGGATTGCGTGGTGGCTGGTGGGTCGGCCGTGCAGAGGGTGGAGGACCCTGGACAGGGTGTTAAGGCTCGGCCGAAGTTGGCAGAGCTGCCGTCAACCACTGATGGAAAGGGGGTTGGTGAATTGGCCTTGCAGAGGATGGAGGACCC